TCTCTCTCTCTCTCTCTCTCTCTCTCTCTCTCTCTCTCTGTGTGAACCCGTTCGTTTTGTTTTTTTTTCCGTTTTTTTCGTTCGTTTCACTTGAACGTTCGGGATGCCTGCGCCCAGTAGTCCGAGCCTCGGCACGCCGGTCGGCCGAGGCTCGGACTCGATAGCTGGGCCAGGTACTGGTGGTTTAAAGGAGAAGATGGTATTCAGACTTTTCATGTTTTTAAGGATCATTAGATAAGAAAGGAATAGTGCTAGAATGATGTTGTTTGATCTGGCGCCCTACTGGGGTGAAGAGGCACAGCTCAACCCAACTCTATGGTTCAGGCATACCATTCTTTCATATCATTCATGTACTCAAGGGATGCTGGACCCGGTTTCCAGCAGGTGTTGCTCCCCACCAATAGATGGAGCCGGTTTATTTATATTAAAAAAAAAAGAATAAAGTTTAAACCACCAGTATTCGGCCCAGCTATCGGGGGTGTGAAAACTTTAAAGTTTAAACCACTACTACCTGCGAGTCTTTTTTTGTCTACCCTCACTTTCACTGCATGCTCATTTCTGCCGAGCCTGGGTTCCGTTTTGTTTCTTTTCTGGTAATCTTCTGGAGAAGAAAAGAAAAACACGGCCCCCGTATGCCTACAATTAGGAGTAGTGGTAGGTAGGAAGTGTGAGGTGAAATTGAGAGAAGAACATAGCTTTAAAAAAAAAAAAAAAAAAAAAAACAAAAAAAAAAAAAAAAAAAAAAAACATGACTGCAGTGTCGTGTCGGCTGTGGTGTGCAGACAGAGCCTGAGTTCAGAAACGGCAAAAAAGAAAAAAGAAAAACCGCTGCGCTATATATATTTGACCGAAATTGCCTTTTTAAACTCGGCGCCTGATTTTGTTGCCGGCAAAATTTGACATGGCCACTGTGACACTTGTTTTATTTTTTTTTGACAGGGAGGGGGGAAAGCAAGGAGCCTCCATTAAAACAGCCACCCCCCTTGAGGCCGGGGGCCAAGTCCCACTAGCAGCGTTGAATTTCCTCAACGTCCAAATCTGGACGTGTTTGTGGAGATGTGCAGAAAATCACGTTTAGTTTCTTCTGCAACAGCACATCTCCACAAATACGTCCACATGCGGCGTTGAGTTTCTTGAACGTCGAAATGTGGAGGTGTTTGTGGAGATGTGCAGAAAATCACGTTTAGTTTCTGCAACCGCACATCTCCACAAATACGTCCACATGCAGTCGTTGAGGAAACTCATCGCCGCTAGTGGGACTTGGCCCCGGGATTTCCTCACAAACAACTCGGAAACCCCAGGGGCCTGGACCCACTAGCGAAGTATTCTTTTTTTTTTTTTTTTTTTTTTTTTTGGGAAACCCCTCTGGGGCCTGGACCCACTAGCAAGGTATTCTACAACGCCTCTCAGGATTTCGATCACGTGTGGCATAGAGTGACTCAGTACGGCCGTCGAATAGATGGGATCTCGACGGCCTGGTATTTTCCGAGCGGGGACTGTAAAGATGCCCACCACCCGTCCAATGAGATGCGTCGGAAAAAAAAAAAAGAAACTATAGATTGAATAGGGTGTTTTTGCGAAGTATAAGTCTAGTGATTTTATGAATATTAGAATGGTTCTTAGGTAAAGTCTTGGGTAGTCGCAACCTCTGTGCGGTGCAGAGTCTTCTGTAGTGCTAGGCTACTGTAGGAATGTTAGTAGTAGAAGAGAGATCTTGGGATGAATTCTTAGCTAAGCCGGCTAATGCTGCCGGGATAATTCCGGGTTGAATTGTGAGGTCCCCGGGGCATGGTCCCACTAGCAACCGGATAGGATAGAAAAGAGTTTGTGTGGCAGTTGAGTGACCCAAATCCTGCCGTGCAGTACTCGTGATCCAACGGTCAGTATTTTACATGTATTACCCCAAAAAATAAGGAGATCTTCGTTCCCCTCCTCCTCTGGGCATGCGGGTGCAAAGGAAGCATCCCGCCAAAATCTTTTCAATCCGTTGGGGGCGTGGCCAACCCCAAAAGAGAGTGGGGTCGGCCATAGGCTCACCGGATAGAAGATTTTCAGTATTTTGCTTGCTGTTGTGCAATTATCTCATTGGGTGGAGCCCTCCTTCAATCACGGAGTACATGGAGGGCGTCAGGATCACTGCTGACAGAAGTTGAGTTTATTCCAGAAAAATGTGGCAGTCAGGATCACTTTCTGCACTGTTGTTGCAACCACCACCATCAGATCATTTGTGATCTGATGGCTGGGAAGCACTCTGCCGTGATTTCAGGTGGGAGGTCTCTGTTTCTTGTTTTTTTTTTTGCCTTTCTCCAGTTTTCTCACCCCAGAAATTCGTAATGAACCTGTCAGGCCGCTGCCACTCAGTGTCACACTGGATCGGCCACATTCCTATCCGACTGGTAATGGGACCACAACCCCGGCCTCCTGCCATGTGATGTGGAATATAAAGGATTTGAAAAAAA